GTGGCTATGACACTGTGAGCACAGCAGAGCGAGCCTCAGCCCCTGGGCTCTGGCTCAGAGCAAAATGCAACTTGAGCTGGGTTCATTGTATTTTTTTTTTCCTGTCCAGAAGGGAATGAGGAAACCAAGAGCCAAATATTCTAGAGCAGGGGTGTTACGGATTGAACTGTGTGCCCCAAATGTGTGTGTCAGCTTGGCCAGGCCTTGATTCCCAGTATTGTGTGTGATTGTCCACCATTTTGTCATCTGATGTGATTTTCCTATGTGTTGTAAATCCTAACCTCTACGATGTTAATGAGGCACGATTAGAGGTAGTTATGTTAATGAGGCAGGACACAGTCTACAGGATTAGGTTGTGTCTTGAGTCAGTCTCTTTTGAGATATAAAAGAGAGAAGCGAGCAGAGAGGAGAGGGACCTCATACCACCAAGAAGGAAGAGCCAGGAGTGGAGCATGTCCTTTGGACCCAGGGTCCCTGTGCTGAGAAACTCCTAAACCAGGGGAAGATTGATGACAAGGACCTTCTCCCAGATCCGACAGAGAAAGCCTTCCCCTGGAACTGAAGCCCTGAATTCAGACTTCTAGCCTCGTAGACTGTGAGAGAGTACATTTCCGTTTGTTAACGCCAGTCACTGGTGATATTTCTGTTACAGCAGCACTAGATAACTAAGACCAGGGGTCAGCAATCTACAGCCCACGGGTTAAGCCTGACGTGCCACCCGTTTAATACAGACACACTCATTCCTTGACATACTGTCATTGGCTGCTTTCATGCTACAACAACACAGTTGAGTATTTGTGACAGAGACCCTGTGGCCCACAAAGCCTAAAATATTTACTCTCTGGCCTTTTACAGAAAAAGTCTGCCAACCCTGTTCTAAAAGAAGCAGAGTAAGGATTTGGGGAGAAGCTGGAGGAAGGATTTTCAGAATAAAACTGTATACATCAGGGACACTTGGGGTGAAGACCAGGGTAAGGAAGGAGCCATCTTGGAAATGCAGTCTGTGAGGCTGAGGCTACTCCTGGGTGTCCAGTCCTCAGCACCCTGAAGCCTGAGGCAGGAAGTGGTCGTCTTCTGAGAGAACTCTTTGTCTTCCCTTTAGCCAGAGAGGAGTAGGAAATGATAGCTTCTTAGATCTGTTTCCATTTTCCAGAAAGGTGTCTTCCAGGCAAATAAATTGATGGGGCTTTTGTCAGCCAGCAGGTGGGAGCTGGAGGGCAGTGGGAGAGAAGGCTTCTGTCATGGCTTGAATTATGTCCCCCCAAAAATGTGTGTATCAGTTTGGCTGGGCCATGATTCCTGGTATTGTGTGATTTTCCTGTATGTTGTAAACCTGCCTCTATGATGTTAATGAGGGTGGATGGGTGGCAGTTGTGTTAGTAAGGCAGGAC